ACCAATCAAAGTATTAGTGAGTTCAATCTCGGCTGAGGCCGCATGATGATATTGTTTTATTATTATATATTTATATTGTTATATTATATTATATATTATATATATTATTATATTATATATTAAATATTATATTATATATTAAATATTATATTATATATACATATTATATGGCTATATGATTTATCATATATATTACATTATATATTATACATTATATCATATTATATATTATATATTGTAATAAATATTATATTTTATTATATTATATATTATGTATTTTATTATATTATATTGTCAACTGAAAATTACGTCAACTACTCTCAAATGTGGAAATATGAATATAATAGCGGTTTCTAAATTCTTTCAGTTGCTAAGAACATTTAATTTTGTTATTATTAGTTACTTCATTTTAATAAAATCCTTTCGTTTTCGACTTGGAAAAGTCGACATTGAACGAAATGCGTCGGCTAATAATATGTCTTTTCCATTTATAAATATTGTCTTTTCTACAGGCTAATTCTGAGACATTTTTCATACATATAAATAGAAATATGATAAATACATATATAAATATATAAACATACATAAATGCATTTACTTAGAAACAGTTTTGTCTTTATTGAAACCTGAAGACGCCAGATCCTGCACACTTTAGATGAAACGCGTTCTCGTTAAAAAAGCTTTCCTATTTTGTCTCAGTATCTCTAATCTTTCTTCATATATAATTTTCTATTTGGGGTTGTGTTTTATAGATTCGTTTTCTACGACTTACAAACCTTTTGCAGGTTATTCAAAGCCAGAAATATTTTTAGATTGTAGCATTATTTTGGGACATAATAACAGTTTAGTGATGCAAGTATTACTAATTAACTCATAGCTGGGAGAGAAGAGGTGGATTCATAACATTCTCAACAGTATTTGCGCATAAGTAGATATTACGACCCAGACTGGAATTTGAACTTGACTCTCCGATTAACACCACCCGCACATCCAAACTTTAGCACCTGATATTCCCAATCGTTACCCATCTAGGTACTTTCGATCCCCACGAAGATCCTCTTTAGTGGTAAATTACAAAAACAAAATTATTGTAACTGCGAGAAAAATCTGCATTCTGTTTTTATGGTGATTTAAAAAAGAAAAACACGCTTCAAAAAGTTCTATTATTTTTAAAATAATATTAATTATTTTAAAATTTTAATTTATCCGTTGTACTAATTGAACTTTTTGCACAACAAGCGTTATAATATAAAGTAGCAATTCGGAAACTGATTGAATGCAAACTGGTATTAAATGCTTATTATATGCAATCCAACACGTTGCTGCTACACTCGCAATAGATTTTGTTGGGTGTTGATGGATTTTGATATAGAGAGCTTCGAGAATTTGTAGTTTTTTGTCTTTTTTTATTTTCGTGTGTAGTTCATTGGTGTAGTCAACAATTAATTTGCTGTATTGTATTGTATAGGTGGACAAGAGTAAAAAACTCACGTGGTCATGTGTGATGCCATGAACCGAAATGCAATTTGCTTCCTGCGTTTCATATGCACGAATTTAACGTTGCATAGCAATCTTCCATGCAAACAAAACAAACTCTCATTGTTGCAATGTCCGCATAACCAATCTAAAACAAAATTACCGTCTTTGTTATATAATTTATTATTTAATTTATTGTAATGTACTTGTAATCTCTGATGAGGTATAGCGTCAGAAAGAAGAAGAGTAATATTAACGAAGATATAAAAAATGAGAAGCAATATGATCGAATCCACAATCTTTTCTCTTATTTCGCCTCAAAATAATAAAAAAAAGAGGGGATTTATATTTACTAAAATTCACACCCAATTCTCCCAAAGCGAGTCCCTTCCATTGCACTCCGATTGGTTGATTTTTGCGATCGTTCCAAATGTAAACGGCTCGGGTGCGCTATTTCTAAGTGTGGGGTCTGCTTTGCACGCAACCCGATAAATGTGCCAAAAACAGACGTTTTTTGTTTTTTTTTTTAATTTGTATAAAAAATTCCTTATAAAAAACTCGAGTAGCATCCAAACTTACAAAATGTGAAGAATTGCCCGGTTTTTAGTAATTTTCATTTTGGGTGTTGGAGTTGTTACAAGGCAAGCTAAACAAATTTTGATTTAAAATTAATAATTTCAAAAGCGTGTCAAAATTTTAATAAAAAAAATTTGATTTAGAATTTATAATTTCTTCTGGTGATTTAATATTTGCGATAAGTAGCTTTACAATATTTGGGTGAATTAAACGAAAAGCTCCAAAAGTAGAAAGAAAAATAAAAGGAGAAAATCAAGAAAAAATGACTAAGGAAATAAATGAAAAATAAACGAAGAGGAGAAAAGGAAATATGAGTAAAATAAAATAAACGAAGTCGAGATAAAAAAAATAATAAAAAGAATAATGTGTTAGATAAAAAAAAAGAAGCGGAAGACAGATAAAAGGAAAGGAAACGAGAGAGAGAGAAAGAGAAAAAAAAATGACAGAAAAAGAACCAGAGGAAAGGAAACTGAACGACAAAATATGGCGGAATAGAAAATGATAGAAAACAGATAAATAAAAATAAAATATCGAAAGAAAAGGTCAAAGCAGCAGGAAGGGAAAGTTTTGAATAAACTAATGAACAGATTTTGAACAGCAAATAATGCTTGCGTGAATATCAAAAAAGTAAATAAAATTTTTTGCTTATTAATAGTCAGAAGCATTTCAGTACTCTAGAAATCACGCCTGCATTGTTTGATCTCGCGTCAAGTCTCGCTTAATCTCACATGTTTCTTTGCCAAAGAAGAACGGAATGACACCATCCAGCATTTTAAGATTTCATTTTTGGGGGTACTGTTGTGAACAAAAGTAGGGCTCTTCTTACTCCTGCCCTTTTAAAAGAAACGTATATCTAAAAGCAGTTCCTAATATTAGGCTAAAACTGTTTGTGGAAATATTTTTTTACATTAATTTTATCCAGTACAGCATGCCGAACAGTTGGTAAGCGAAATTACATTCTTAATTAAAACACTTTTGTAAATGCGTACAACACATTTTTTTTGTTTTAAAGAAACTCGATTATATTGATTCTTTAAATAAGAATTCTTTGAATTGAGGAAACCTTCACTTTTGTGTTAAACCATTTCACACTAAGCAAGGCAATATAGCCACTAAGACGCAAGGAGCGATTGAGCGTGAGAAAATAAGAAACAAATATTATTAAGAATAGAGAATAATACAAAAACGAGAATTAAGAAGACAGCAGATAAAAATTGACATTGCATTTAAATCTTTCAGGATAAATGTTGATTGGAAAGCAAGAAGCCAGAAAAGAGTTTTCCAAGCAAGAATTGCGATAGAAGAAACTGTTAACATAGTACTTACGATTATATCTAGGCATTTCAACTGTAAAATGATGAGACCTTTCCGCCAATCTAGTACTGCGTTTAAATTCACAAAGTCTACGTACTACAGAAGAAAGGTCATCAGAACAATTATTAAAGAATATTTTTTTTTTAGAAAAGGCAAAGTGAAGCTACGTTAAGGTGTTAGGAAAGGGACTGAAGCCGAGATGTCATGCCAGGACCAATAACATTGCAGATTCTACTTTGGATTTTATCAAGAAACTCTAAATATATAGCATTACATATTATATTACTTATTAATCTTACTTGATACATGGACAAATGTGCAAGATGTATTCTGGTGATATATATATATATATATATATATATATATATATATGTATGTATGTATATAAATAAAAAGAAAGAACAGTAAGATATATAATCCGATGTTCTTATAGATATTTTTATTTTTTTACAAAATAGTGCTCTATGTAAATTTACAGAGCATTAATATTATAAATTAATTGATTTTTTAAATATGTTTTTTCACAGTTCTAGCCATGTTTCAAAATGGAAGCTAAAACCCCGAATTTAATTTTGTAATTAAATTAAAGACATTAGTTAGCTTCCATTTTTTGAAACATGGTTAGAACTGTGTAAAAAAAAATATTTTTAAATCAATTAATTTATATATATATATATATATATATATATATCACTTTAATATATATATATATATATATATATATATATATATATATATATATATATATTAAAAGTGATAGATATATAAATATGAAAAGAATGAAAACCAGATAGATAGATTGATAGATAGATAGATAAGAAAAGAGTGAGAGATAAATATAGAAAGAGTGGGAAACAGGTAGATATGAACAGAGTTAGGGATAGATAGATAGATAGATAGATAGATAGATAGATAGATAGATAGGACGAGAGTGGTAAATAGGAAAAGGCGGTATGAAGGTGACTGAAGCCGATATGTCAGGCTCGGACGAATAACATTGCAGATGCTTCTTTGGATTTTATGAAGAATCTCTAAATATATAGCATTACGATACTAATTATTATTACTAGATGTATTTTCCAGAATATACTGTTACTCTGGCGCATAATGGTTCTTGATTCCCGTCCTAAAAGAAGGTTTGACGCCGAGAAAACTGATGCAAATTTAAAAGCAAGAATTTTAAGTGAACCCAGATCAACGAATTGATGTCGAATTCAAAGGAAATCTGAATCCATCTTAGCTGTAGCCATTGGATGAGATTGCGTTAGATGCACAAATCTTTCTGGGTGTCATGGAACTGAAGATTATTCTTATTTTATAAACGTTCTAAAACAATCAAAGAATAAGGTGAAGGATGTCTTTTAAATGCTTTTACACGCTTGTCTCGATTTTCGCAATGGATCTGGATGCTCGAAACTGGAACGTACATTGGAATAATGAAAGAGGTCTTCTAAACGCGAAGAAAAGTATTAAGAAACATGAACAGTATCATTGAACAGGAATATATTAAATTCAGTTCGAATGTAATATACTATTTATCTTTAACATAAATATGGTAGTTGCTTATAGCAAAAGTCACACGTTTTGCGACAATTCTGCATAGAGATTTGTAATTAGAATCATTTTCGCGTAGAATGCCCCTGCCTGGGGCGATGTCCTTGGTTACTGTATCATTTTATAATACCTTGGGGACGTATCGCGGGCATGGCAACCAATTTATAAGACCTCTTCTCTCTTATCCCTTCTGGCTGTCGCTTCTGGGTGGTTGGGTCGTCAATTCTCCATTCCAGTTAATAGTCTATTCGGCAATTATCTATCGGTCTTATCAAGTCCACGTTGTACCACGGAGGAAGTATCTCAAAGACAGGTGTAATCTGACTAATCCGGTCGATCTCATCTTGATCCAGAAGTTCGACAGATTATTGGATACATCTTTTACAGGTTAACTTCTGTGAAGTAACAATGCGGTGTACTCCTTATAAAATACAGGGTGACCACAAAAAACGGGAATTTTTGAAGTGCGTATTGCCAGACATGAGCAAGTGGCAACACTGCGAGACAGTGAACTTGAGCAAGTAAACATTTCGCCATTTCGAATTCAAGATGAAATTTACAGTATCCCAGCTGAGATGTTGCAGCAGTCAATGAGGAATCTCAAGAGCAGATTTCAAGAATGCATTTGCACAGAAGGACGCCATCTACATTACGTAATTTTTAAAAAATGAAAATTTCATCATTGTTTCGTAAATGGCATGTTTTAAGGTTTCAATTACTATGAATAAAATATTTTTCTTCCATCACTCTTAGTTTTATTGGATTCCTAAAAGTTCCCGTTTTTTTTGGTCACCCTATATAAGAGGTTGAATTTGATTTTAGCAATATTCGCTACTGTTTATGTGAAAATATTAGCTACAATAATATGGGACTAGGGGTTCAGTTAAGTTCTCTGTTCTGCTGGCAAATTGCAACAAGACACTGACCAGGTTTAAACGTTTAATTGCATGATATTACAGGATGGTGATTTCGATGGACTACTATTTGGATAAAAATAATTAAAATTATCTGGAGAGTAGGTTAGTGGTTAAGAAAACAATGAAAAAAGAAATGGAGTAAAATGGTTTTAGAAGTCATAAAACATAATTTTTAAACTGGCCCAAGGAGAATCGAACCCAGAATTAACTAACCCAAATTCAGTAAAATTGAGCAAAACCAAAATTCACATCCGTATCCACTTTCCACCGATAAGAAGAAGTCATGATTAATGTGTTATCCGAATTTCATCGGTTTAGCAAAATTAAAATTGGGAAGTTTGTTTACATTATGTTATCTGTCCAAAATGTGTGCAGTTTTTTTTTAATGTATGGCGTATTTATAAGGTAATGTTTTGCACAAAGTCTTATTCAGCTTAACTCATCTTCGTCCACCATCATTTAGAAAAGACGAAGCAGATTTTGCATTGTCTGTGTATGAGTAACTAATGTCAGTAGAGAGTCGGTTGAATTACCAAGTCAAGATTCAGTAGAATTGTTCAAAACCAAAGTTACCAACCCGAATCACTTTCCGCCGATAAGAATAAGATATGATTAATGTGATATCAGAATTTCCTCGCTTCTGAGAAATTCGAAAGTTTGTTTACATTATGCTAACTGTCCAAAACGTATATTGTCTTGTAGAGGATGATAATCCAAATTCTTTTAAACAAAGAAAGTATCAATTTTTGTTTAAGTCCCAGGTTTGGATTTTATTTATATTGTTCCATCTGTCCAAAACCTGTGTGTTATTCTAGAAAAAGAAGAATTTTGAATTTTGCTAATTCCTAAGCTGGGGATTTGTTTATCTTGATCGCTCAAGAACTATCTTCTTTACAGAAAGATATCTAAAGAGATTATAAACAAAGAGATTACCATATGGTTTAATCTTTCCATGGTTGAAATTGCCAAGGACTTAAGTTGATAAATCTGAAAGAAAATGAAAAAAAATAATTAGACCCTTAAACTTAATTCACATTTAAAATCGGTTCAATTTATTGGAACACCCTTCATATGGTCAAGGCAGAAATTTTGACGGCCATCTTTTGTCGAATAATAGGCATGTTAAAGAAATATCTGTTTAATGTAACATCGCATTTCAGACCAGACACTAGATTCGTTCGCAGGGTGCAGCTTCCAATCAAATGCTTGTGGCTTAAGACATGAACATAACTCTTTGGCCAGATAGTTAACCACGGCATGAAACCATGAGACGTGATTGTAGCAGACGGCAAATTTTATTCTCTTATAACCTTCTGGTGTAGGCAAGCGAGGACAAGGAAGGCGAGGCGAGCGGGCGAACCGTCGAACCGCTGCCGGCTTTCATTTTCGAGACATACTGATAAAGCAGCGAATAATGATAAGAAGTGAATAATGATTAAGCATTTTGATAAGTGAATGTTGAGAAATTTTCTCTGAAGAATAAATTACATTGAAGGATTAAAATGGACTAGCACTGGGGTTAGCATTGTATCCGATCAAATAGACATAGAAAGGAATTGTTACATGCCAAGACAAGTGAATATTGGACAGTAGCAAAAACGAAAACGGAACATGATTGACTTGGAACAGTAATGGAATGAGAAGATTTCAAGCAAATTCTATACAGATTCAGACTAATAAATTAGAAAGACTATAAAGTTGAAAAAATAGATAGATTTGGATTTACAAAGAATCTATCTGTTCACATCTATCTGTTTATTGTATCTGTTCCTATCTATACATCTATCAATATCTGTTTACATCTATCTGTTCCTATCTATTTATCAATTGATATCTGTTCCTATCTATTTATCTATCAATATCTGTTCACATCTATCTATCTATCTATCTATCTATCTATCAATATCTGTTCTCATCTATCTATCTATTTATATCTGTTAACATCTATGTTCTCTCCTATCTATCTACCCCCTTTTGTTTATCTATCTCTCTATATTTATATATATATATCAATATCTATTCTCATTTATCTATCTCAGTCTTTCCATATCTATCTATCTATCTATTTATCTGTTCCTATCTATTTATCAATCAATATCTGTTCACATCTATCTATCTATAACTGTTTCTATGTATTTACCTATCAATATCTATCTATCCATATCTATATCTATATATATATATATATCAATATCTGTTCTCATCTATCTATTTATCTATGTTAACATCTATGTTCTCTCCTATGTATCTACCTCCTTTTGTGTATTTTATCTCTCTATATTTATGTATATAGCAATATCTATTCTCATTTATCTATCTATCTCAGTCAGTCCATATCTATCTATCTATCTATGTCATTTCTCATCTATGTTCTCATCTCTCTATCTACATCCTTTTGCGTATCTATCTATCTATCTATCTATCTATCTATCTATCTATCTATCTATATCTGTTCTTATCTATCTATCTATCTATCTATCTCAGTCAGTCCATATCTATCTATCTATCTATCTATGTCATTTCTCATCTATGTTCTCATCTCTCTATCTACATCCTTTTGCGTATCTATCTATCTATCTATCTATCTATCTATCATTCATCTATCTCTATATCTGTTCTTATCTATCTATCTATCTATCTATCTATCTCAGTCAGTCCATATCTATCTATCTATCTATCTATGTCATTTTCTCATCTATGTTCTCATCTCTCTATCTACATCCTTTTATCTATCTATCTATCTATCTATCTATCTATCTATCTATCTATCTATCTATCTATTCTTATCTATCTATCTATCTATCTATCTATCTCAGTCAGTCCATATCTATCTATCTATCTATCTATGTCATTTTCTCATCTATGTTCTCATCTCTCTATCTACATCCTTTTGCGTATCATCTATCTATCTATCTATCTATCTATCTATCTATCTATCTATCTATATCTGTTCTTATCTATCTATCTATCTATCTATCTCAGTCAGTCCATATCTATCTATCTATCTATCTATGTCATTTCTCATCTATGTTCTCATCTCTCTATCTACATCCTTTTGCGTATCTATCTATCTATCTATCTATCTCTATCTATCTATATCTGTTCTTATCTATCTATCTATCTATCTATCTATCTCAGTCAGTCCATATCTATCTATCTATCTATCTATGTCATTTCTCATCTATGTTCTCATCTCTCTATCTACATCCTTTTGCGTATCTATCTATCTATCTATCTATCTATATCTGTTCTTATCTATCTATCTATCTATCTATCTCAGTCAGTCCATATCTATCTATCTATCTATCTATCTATCTATCTATGTCATTTCTCATCTATGTTCTCATCTCTCTATCTACATCCTTTTGCGTATCTATCTATCTATCTATCTATCTATCTATCTATCTATATCTGTTCTTATCTATCTATCTATCTATCTATCTATCTCAGTCAGTCCATATCTATCTATCTATCTATCTATGTCATTTCTCATCTATGTTCTCATCTCTCTATCTACATCCTTTTGCGTATCTATCTATCTATCTATCTATCTATCTATCCATCTGTTCTTCTATCTATATCTGTTCTTATCTATCTATCTATCTCATCTCAGTCAGTCCATATCTATCTATCTATCTATCTATCTATGTCATTTCTCATCTATGTTCTCATCTCTATCTACATCCTTTTGCGTATCTATCTATCTATCTATCTATCTATCTATCTATCTATCTATATCTGTTCTTATCTATCTATCTATCTATCTATCTCAGTCAGTCCATATCTATCTATCTATCTATCTATCTATGTCATTTCTCATCTATGTTCTCATCTCTCTATCTACATCCTTTTGCGTATCTATCTATCTATCTATCTATCTATCTATCTATCTATCTATCTATCTATCTATCTATATCTGTTCTTATCTATCTATCTATCTATCTATCTCAGTCAGTCCATATCTATCTATCTATCTATCTATGTCATTTCTCATCTATGTTCTCATCTCTCTATCTACATCCTTTTGCGTATCTATCTATCTATCTATCTATCTATCTATCTATCTATCTATATCTGTTCTTATCTATCTATCTATCTATCTATCTATCTCAGTCAGTCCATATCTATCTATCTATCTATGTCATTTCCCATCTATGTTCTCATCTCTCTATCTACATCCTTTTTGCATCTATCTATCTATCTATCTATCTATCTATCTATCTATCTATCTATATCTGTTCTTATCTATCTATCTATCTATCTATCTATCTCAGTCAGTCCATATCTATCTATCTATCTATCTATGTCATTTCTCATCTATGTTCTCATCTCTCTATCTACATCCTTTTGCGTATCTATCTATCTATCTATCTATCTATCTATCTATCTATCTATCTATCTATATCTGTTCTTATCTATCTATCTATCTATCTATCTATCTATATCTGTTCTTATCTATCTATCTATCTATCTATCTATCTATCTCAGTCAGTCCATATCTATCTATCTATCTATCTATGTCATTTCTCATCTATGTTCTCATCTCTCTATCTACATCCTTTTGCCTATCTATCTATCTATCTATCTATCTATCTATCTATCTATCTATCTATATCTGTTCTTATCTATCTATCTATCTATCTATGCCCAATAGACACACAAGCCCAATGATACTTGTATAAGCCAGCTGAACTTCCTCATAAAAGCCTGCACTATACAGCTTCAGACAAGCCTGAAAGAGAAAGAAAGCATACTCTTCTTTCAGAAACAGATAATTGTTGCCAGACATACGGGCATCGGATCCCTACAAAGATTTCACAGTGGGAATATTTTTTTGACTCATAAACAAGAAACTGAAACAAAAATAGAATTTCTCCACCCACCGCTACGGATATTAAAGACAGTGTGCGTGTCTGTATATTAAAAATAATAGATAAATTGACATATATTAAACCACATTCATATATATATATATATATATATATATATATATATATATATATATATATATATATATATATATATATATATATATATATATATATATGTGTATGTGATATCTATATACACCCATACTCAAAACATAGTGTCATCACGAAGTTTTGAGTTTGTGAAGTTTTTTACACTGATTTCATATTTAAAAGCATGTTTTTCATCTTCTATACTCTTGCCTGTGTTTGATAAACAAAATTTCCCATTGTAAATAACTAACAAAACACATCTACTGTTCGGTAGAATTGTGTAGATTTATATAAAGTTTTCTGTCCATTTTATAGAAATTCTCAGATCACACCGATAAATCAGAGGCTGATAAAGCCAGAAAAACAGACACAATAGTCACATTAATCAGATATTTTATAGTCCCTTTAATGATATAAAAAATTAATTTAATATGATAAGGAATTAATAATGTATTTAATCTTACAAGGATTAACTGATCACGTTAATCAAATAAGGATCAATGACTCCTTTAGTCAGACGAATATTTGATAATCGCTTTAATCAAACAAGGAAGTAATGGCCGATTTAATGAGACAAGGACGCAATGGTCAATTTAATGAATAAGGCAAGTAATGGTCAATTTAATGAAACAAGGCAGCAATTGTCCATTTAATGAGACAAAAAATCAAAGTTCCATTTAAAGAAGCACGGACGTAATGGAAACTTTAATGAGAAACGGAAGCAATGGTTAATTTAAAGACACAAGGAACAAATGAGCCTTTTAATGAAAAAAGATAGCATCGGTCCATTTAAAGAAACAGGGAAGAGTGGGCTATTTAATGACACAAAGAAGCAATGTTCCATTTAATGAGATTAGAAAGTAATGGAACATTTAATGAGACACGGAAGCAATGGTCCATATAATAAAACAAGGAATTAATGGTCAATTTATTGCGACCAGGTCACAGCGGACCAATTAATGGGATACAGAAGTTTAGTCCATTTAAAGAAACACTAAAGTAATGGTGTAGTTAAGGAAACAAAGGATCATTTAATGAGACACGGAAGCAATGGTCCAATTAATGAGAAAATGAAAAAATGGTTCATTTAAGGAGACACAGAAGCAATGGAGTATTTAATGAGACAATGGACACGGAAGGAATGGACAATTTAATGAGACAATTAAACAATGGTTCATTTAAGAAGACACGGAAGCAATGGACCATTTAATGAGTTTAGTCTATTTAAAGAAACAATAAAGTAATGGTTTATTTAATGAAACAAAGGTTCATTTAAGGAGACACGGAAGCAATGAAGTATTTGAGACAATAAAACAATGGTTCTTTTAAGGAGACACGGAAGCAATGGTCCAATGAACTAGACAATGAAACAATGGTTCTTTTAAGGAAACACGGAAGCAATGGTCCATTTAATGAAATAAGTTGAAGACATGGAAGTAATGATTCTTGAATGAAACAGGGAAGCAATGATCCATTTAATGAAACAATGGTTCATTTAAGGAGACACGGAATTAGAAAGCAGAGAGTTCGTCCAGTACAGTTGGAAAAGATTCCAGCAAGACGGTATCTAGCAACTGCCCCACACAGTCACATGTGGCACAAGGCCTAATTTCAAGTGGGGTTCCCGAGACCGTATGATCGGCCCCAAAATCCCCGTAGACCCCGCATAAACGGGATTGGGTCTGTCTACCTCCGCGAACGAGACTCTGCCCCTAGGCATAGCCTCGTCCGGGATCTTCTCTGCCCTCATGCAGAGAGTTCAATCAGTACACCTAGAAAAGATTGCAGCTAGACAATATTTACTTAACACGAGGGTAGATGTGGCACAAGGCCAAGTTCAACGTGAGTCATCAGAGAGAGGAATATAAGGAACGGTTTCTCGATTTTTGTACCATCATTGCTTGATATCGTATGATAACTTTTGTATGCTGATCATTATACCATACACTGATATCTTTTGACGGCCATACTCAACGAAGAGGTCGCGACAGTTATTTATGGAAGGTAATTTTTTTTCTTTCAATTATTTTTTTTTTTCGTTAAAAGGTTAACTTCTTTGAGAGAAAAAATAAGTGCTTTGAACTTTCGTTGGAATTGATGTCAAATAAGTAGAAGCAAACGTTTTCCTCCTGGATGAGGTGGGGGGGGGGTAAACGAAAGCTTTAGTTTTTGTTGGAAAAGGTACACCAAAGGGAAAGGAAGAGATTTTCTTTCTAATGAAAACTCATCTCGTTTTGATATTACCTAGATATGCACACCTAGAAATGTTAACCTTAGCTAAGTTGTCAAAAGGAAATTAAATAAAATGGTTGCAGCTATCAAACAGCGTTTTACTTTCCTTGAAAATCAACATTTGAATTCCTGATGCATAACTACACTCAAACCTTGAAACAGGTGTCTGTAGAAAAAAAACGCAAAAATGATTCAACTCTATAGACACCTTTATATATATATATATATATATATATATATATATATATATATATATATATCCAGTTGCCTTGATCTATCAACTACCCTTCTCCTCATCCTTTCTTCTATCACTCCTATCTGATCTTGCTCCAAGTTTTCTGTAACCCCTTACGTCCTAATGGCTTCTCGCCTTGTTTAGGTGAAACCCTTCATATATATATATATATATATATATATATATATATATATATGAAGGTCTGATGAATTGGATCGTAATTACGATTCCAATGTAATAAATTATAACCATGAAATATTAGTGTTTGAGCCTTTTATATTATATATATATATATATATATATATATATATATATATATATACAGTGTATCACAAAAGTGAGTACACCCCTCACATTTCTTCAAATATTTAAGTATATCTCTTCATGGGACAACACTGACAAAATGACACTTTGACACAATGAAAAGTAGCCTGTCTGCAGCATATATAACAGAGTTAATTTATTTTTCCCTCAAAATAACTCAAAATATAGCCATTAAAAGCTAAATCCCTGGCAACAAAAGTGAGTACACCCCTTAGGAAAAGTTGTCAATATTAACATACAACATGTCAACTGTCAATATTTTGTGTGGCCACCATCATTATCCAAAACTGCCTTTACTCTCCTGGGCATGGAGTTTACCAGAGCTTCACAGGTAGTCACTGGAATGCTCTTCCACTCCTCAATGACGACGTCGCAGAGCTGGGGATATTTGAGACTCTGCGCACCTCCACCTTCTGCTTGAGGATGGCCCAAAGATGTTCTATTGGCTTCAAGTCTGGAGACATGCTTGGCCAGTCCATCACCTTTACCCTCAGCCTCTTCAGTAAAGCAGTGGTTGTCTTGAATGTGTATTTGGGGTCATTGTCATGCTGGAACACTGCTCTGTGACCCAGTTTCTGGAGGAAGGGGATCATGCTCTGCAGCGGTATTTCACAGTACATGTTGGAGTTCATGTTTCCCTCAATGAAATGTAACTCTCCAATGCCTGCAACACTCATGCAGCCCCAGACCATGACATTCCCAGCACCATGCTTGACTGTAGGCATGACACACTTATCTTTGTACTACTCACCTGGTCGCTGCCACACATGCTTAAGGCCATCAGAATGAAACAAATTAAATTTCGTCTCATCAGACCATAGGACATGGTTCCAGTAATCTATGGGCTTTGTTGACATGTCTTCAGCAAACTGTTTGCGGGCTTTCTTGTGTATTGCCTTCAGAAGAGGCTTCCTCCTGGGGTGACAGCCATGCACACCAATTTGATGTAGTGTGCGGCGTATGGTCTGAACACTAACAGGCTGAATCCCAATCTCTTTAATCTCTGCAGCAGTGCTAACAGCACTCCTACGTCGATCTTTCAAAGAAAGCATTTGGATGTGACGCTCAGCACGTGCGCTCAGCTTCTTTGGACGACCTACCCGAGGCCTGTTCTGAGTGGACCCTGCTCTTTTAAAATGCTGGATGATCTTAGCCACTGTGCTGCAGCTCACTTTCAGGGTGTTGGCAATCTTCTTGTAGCCTTGGCCATCTTTATGTAGTGCAACAATACGTTTTTTTAAGATCCTCACAGAGTTCTTTGCCATGTGGTGCCATGTTGGAACTTTCAGTGACCGGTAAGAGAGAGTGTTAGAGCTGCACTACAAATTTGAATACACCTGCTCCCCATGAACACATGGGCATAGTTACAATAATGAGTCACATGACATTTTGGAGGGAAAATGAAAAGCAGTACTCAATTTAGACATTTAGGGGTGTAGTTTCTTAGGGGTGTACTCACTTTTGTTGCCAGGGATTTAGCTTTTAATGGCTATATTTTGAGTTATTTTGAGAGGAAAAGAAATTAACTCTGTTATATATGCTGCAGACAGACTACTTTTCATTGTGTCAAAAGGTAATTTTTTCAGTGCTGTCCCATGAAGAGATATACTTAAATATTTGAAGAAATGTGAGGGGTGTACTCACTTTTGTGATACACTGTATATATATATTAACCCTTTCACCCCCACCAAGCCGGGAAGCCACTAGCACGCAAGTGGTTAGAGAGAGTTGGAGCGAGAGCAAATAGGAGTGATAGAGGAAAGGGTGAAGACAAGGATAGGGGATAGATCAGGACATCTGGAGACGTCGATTGACATTACATTTGAATAGTTGGAGATTATAGCTATCAGGGAAACAGCAAATGGGGATGGAGATCCACAGGCGAGAAGTGCGAGACATGAA